ACACATGTCAGTTTTGTCCCGGAAAGGAAGGACCCGAGAGCTGGGGGCCGAGGTGCGTGTCAGTCAGCGCGGGCATACTTCAGACCGACAGTTCGCGAAGGAGGGGTAAAGTTGTGCCTTTCCTGGATCGCCATTTGAAGTGGCTTGTGAATGGCAATTGGGGCACCAGATTACTCAGCCTTGGCAATGCTTGTATCGAGCTTCCTATCAGACCTTGAAGCATCTGCGCAGAGGAACCAGCCTTGTACAACTTTTGAGAGATGACGATTGCGAGGTGCAAATTTGCTGCCTAGAGCCAAAGCATGTGCGTCGTCTGGCATCGCCTGGCAGGCACATGGTCGGTCGCGCGAGTGTAGAGCTGTACCCTGTGCAGGACTTACGCAACGCCATAGCTGCCTGGCAGAAGACGATGCGCTGTTGCATCGCTGTGCGCAGCAAGTGCGGGGGCGGCAATGGATCGATGGGCCGAGTCGATATGTGCTGGATTGACCTCATCCCTGTAGGGAAATTGTGGGAAGCAGTAGCAATGAAGGTGTGTGGCTGCGCTGCGCCCTGCCCATGTGAACAGCCATTTGTACGTGAAGTACACGCGGTACTGGTTTGTACGGTGCATGAAGCAACTCCAATACTTATGACATGGGCGCAAATTTGTTCATTACCTGTCCGCACCCGGCTTGCACGCTCTCTCAAAAAAAGTCCTCTGAGGGCGGGGGACAGGCACAGGTAAGAAGAGGCGTTGGGGATCGCATGTCGCCCACCAGAAAAGGGGTCCTTGTCTGGCGTGATCCCCTGGTCCACTCGGCTGCCGAGCGAGACTGTAGGTACCCACTACATGTTCTTCTTTCAGATGTCTAGACACCTAGGCCACCTAGGCAGGCCCTTCACTACAAACTTGCTAGGTAGACGGTTCACTAAGATTCGCCGGGAATGGGGCTTGCTGATAGGCTTGACACTCGCCACGTGAAGTTGAGTCGCAGATACTTGTAAGGCGAGCTGACTGCTCAGCGCATCCGTCTTATCAACAACCTTTCCACTATTACCCCCCCCCCCCCCCGATTTTCAGGCGGGCCGGCCATCTTCGCCTTGAGACAGAACTTCAATTGAGCGATCCGATAACATCTGCGTTGCACGATAGATCACCTACCCGGACAACATACGACGAACTAGAATCGCTCCCTTTGTCCAAAAACAGATCGCGAACAAGGCCCCTGGCATGACAGTGACTGGCCTCTTCGCAGGCCCTCATCACCCACTGCCCGATTGCCAAACCGCCCGACCGCCCAACTCTCTACAGCCCCGTCGAACCTCCACATCACCCACCACCAACTGCCGCGACTTGGGAACTCAAAATATCGCGAACAGTGACCCGGCTGTGGCTGCGGTCCATCCTCTCTCCCGCGGGCCCGATTATCCAGCCTTGCCATGTCTCCCCCATCGCCGACGACATCAACCGAACAAGATGGCGGCGGCATTCCGTCTCGTCATCGAGCCGTGTCTCCCAATGCAGAGCTAGACACTGCCGACAACAGAAGCATACCCAAACCAAAGCGCCTGGCCTGCATGATCTGTCGCAAAAGGAAATTGAAATGCGACGGCATCAAACCCAGCTGCAGCACATGCACCAGGCTAGGCCACTCGTGCGCATACGACGAAGTGCGCCGAAAGAGCGGCCCCAAGCGGGCTATGTCAAGGCTTTGGAGGAGCGTCTCAGTGAGCGTTAACCCCCTCGCTGTCCTGGCGTTGCGCCCATGGTCGCGCCTACTGATCGTGTGCTTCTATCTGCAGAACAGGTCGAAACCCTCCTCAACAAAACCAAAGACTCGGCAACAGGTGCCGAGACCAATGCGGCCGCGCCTCTGAACCTTGACACCGCATCAGCTACCCGCGTCCAGCTGCCAGCCGTTGCCGCCGCCGGTGGTGGCTTCAGCGGCCAGAATGCCACGCTCACTCTTCCAGGCGACCGCGACATGGACCGCTGGCAGTTTGCGGGCGAGTCGCCTCAACCTGGGCCTCCCATGGACGATTTCAACTTCAACACGAGCATGAACCCCGGCTTAAACCCCAGCATGCCGATCGGAATGGGCAACCTGAATAATACGAACTTCCCATGGGAAATGATTGGACTTGGTCTGGAGGAGCCCCTGCCACCACAGGAGACCATCGATGAGCTGTTTGTTCGCCCTCAACTCAATGCTTGGCATGTGACGCAGCTAACAGTAGCACCTACGCAGGCATCAGATCTACTTTGAGAAGGTTCACCCTTCCATGCCAATGATTCACAAGTACAGGTATCTGGCGGCCATGAACCTGTAAGTATGAACTTTGCCTCCCGTAATCGTTTTGAGCTAATGACTGTGCTTCAAGAGCCCCAAATCAACGACCGCCCGTTGCACTCCGATACGCAATCTGGACCTTGGCTTGTTCCATAACAGACAAGTACATTGATTTGAAGGACTTGTTCTATCAACGTGCACGCAAGTACGTGGAAGGTGACTACATTAAAGGCTACGGAGAGCACATGATATCTGTCGCCCATGCACAAACTCATGTTTTGTTGGCTTCATATGAATTCAAGATGATGTATTTCCCAAGAGCATGGATGAATACGGGGGCGGCAGTCCGCTTGTGTCAAATGTGAGTAGCGACAGCATGCTGGATATGTGGTCGCGGAGCGGAGTCACTAACGTCATCTAGGATTGGACTTCACCGCTTAGATGGGGCGGGCCTCGACGTCAAGCAATGCCTTCCACCCCCGCGCGATTGGACCGAGCGCGAAGAGCGGCGGCGCACGTTCTGGATGGCATTCTGCGAGGATCGGTATGCGAGCATCGGCACTGGCTGGCCCATGACCATCGACGAGAAGGACATCATGACGAACCTGCCATCCTCGGACGAAGCGTTCGATATGAGTAGGCCTGAGCAGACGCAATCGCTCCAAGACAGCATGAGTCCTGCAGGAGCAAGCAAACTCTCATCTTTCGGCGGAATTGTGCTCATGGCCTGTCTCTTCGGCCGTAATCTTATCCATCTTCACAGACCCGACGTCGACGACCGAGACAACGACCTCAACGGCGAGTTCTGGAAACGCCACAGGGCCATGGACAACATTATTCTCAACACATCGCTCTGCCTGCCGCCTCACATCAAGCTGCCGTCCGGCCTCAGCAACCCCAACATTGTTTTTACCAATATGAGCATCCACACCTCGACGATATGCCTCCATCAGGCGGCTATTTTCAAAGCCGATAAAAACAAGCTACCGGCATCAGTGAGTGCCGAAAGCAAAGTGCGCTGCATTACCGCTGCCAACGAGATTGCGAGTATCATGAGGATGATATCGCACATGGATCTAAGCTGCGTAAGTCTTGTCTGACACCGTTACCTTACGGCAAGGTCCTCTAACAAGCCTACAGATGAATCCTTTTATTGCGTTCTGCCTTTACGTGGCTGCGAGGGTGTTCGTGCAATATCTCAAGAGTCGACCTGATGACAGTCAGACGGCAGATTCATTGCGTTTTCTGTTGTCAGCCATGAATGCTCTGAAGCGTAGGAACCCCCTTACGGAGTCATTCTTAGTACAACTTGATGTCGATCTCGAAGCTTTGGGGATGAGAATTCCGAAGCTGAGAGCCGCATTCCCACGAAGCGGCGACAGTGTACGTTTTTCCCTCACCTTCGCATGGCCCTTGATGCCGTTGACTGACATTGCCGCGTGCTTTAGCCGGATGCCACCGCCGCGGGAAAGCGATGTGATGAAGAAGGTGCTTCAGGAATTCTGGCCTACAGGAATGATTGCAACTACACGAATGGCGATGATGCCGTTCCAGTCACCGCCCCTGGCATTGTCGAACCGATTTCGGGCACTCAGCCTGTGAGCAGAACTATTTCGGACTCGTCCGGCTTCTCCGGCCAGCGCTGGCTTGGTCCAGACGCCGGATTCGCTCAAGAAGGAGGTGCCTCCCGCGTGCCTTTGCAGGGCATGGTCCTGACGCCGGGGTCAGGTTCGTTGGGGGGCTCGCGAAACGGTACAGTTGCTGGGTTCGGACAGAGCGAAAGCAGCGGCGACAACACGATGGGCTCGCCAGATGGCGATCAGTCTAATCGGCCGACACCCAACTCAAGCTCAGCCTCTGAACATCGAAGTGGGCCGACCGCATCAGTTGGCATGGAAGGATCCAGCAGAAACTCGTTCGACGCCAGTCCAGCCTCTAACAACCCAAGCGCTAATATTGGGGTGAACGGCGAATCCACCACTGCTGGCTTCTTCGCCGACTCACGAGGGTTCAACCTGGGTCCTACAGGGATGACACCCGGGGCCAGGTTCCAGATGGGTGACAGCCCTGTGGATGCCTATGGCATGGCGTCCAACGGGTGGCCGGGCATGCCAGGTCAGACAGGCATGACCCCAATGAGCGAAGGGGTGCTACGATCGCTCATGAATATGGGACCGATGGACGCGATGGATCTGTCATCGTGGGATTCGGGAGCCTAGCTGGTCGCCGTCCCCATGACGATGTGAAATGTGAATCTACAGCAGAATGAGGAGTTCGGGGAGGTATTTCTTGACGAAGGCATGACACGTGCCAATGTACGACTAATTTCCACTCAGTATCGAGGGTTCACGGGGGAGCAGGATGGATGACGGGGTATTCGATGGCTTGGTTGGTCGGCGTTGGTGGCTTTAATCGAGATCAATTCAATCCTGCAAAACTTGAGTTGATGAACTGATTTGGTGCCTTGGAGAGCGTTGATATGGCTGTTTGGTCCTTTGCGATGCTAGCAATGTAATACCACCCGTATGCATCAATCCACAAATGCCCTACTAGCCGATTTTTGAGTCCAGAAAGAGTCGCTTCTTTTGAACACATGGACCGCTGCTCAACTCCCCTGAGCTCAATCAACCACGATCCGTTTACTACTCGATAAAGCAGCAACATCAGTCAAACCGGCCCACGAATTCCTGATTGTATTCACCAGCTGTGTTCGATAGTCATGCCTGATTCCGGGCCGCCGCCGTTTGACTTGGGGAACGGTGGACCTCCGATCATGTCACATTACCAGGCGGCGCTCCACGGAGATGTCTTTCACCAGGAACTGTCTCACGCAACCAACTGTGCCTCGCCCGATGTCCCAGTCGCGACTTCTCCCCCAGTGTCAGAGGCCCACGTGCGGCATCTGATGAATAGTCGCGACGAACCAGGGCAAGCCGTTCACTCAACACAGGGACAAGCGCTTCCTGTGCAGACCGCAGCGGGCCAACCTCCTCATTTTGAGGCTTTGCCACCGCCCTTCGGCCCTCAACTTGACCCTCGTCTCGCGTCAAGCGGGATTCCTGCTGCCGTACCAGGCCATGTACCGTCACAGAGCGTACAGCCCGAAGACGCTACAACCTATGTTTTGGATCCTCCTGAGCTGCAAGAATGGAGACAGCGCTTGTTCGATGCGGACGGTGTCATAGTCTTGACCAACGAGCAGTATTTGATCACGAACACTCCCTAGCCATTTCCTTTCGATTCTGACCTTGACATTTACCAGATACAACACGTATTTTCCGCATGTTGACAATGTCTACTCTCATCGCAGCTCGCAAAAGTATAAGCGGAAGCCATTCGTCTCTCACTACTATGACTGCAGGCTCAAGGGGCGGCCACCGGGAACACCTAAGTCTGATGACCCGAACAAAAAGAAGCGGAAGCGTGCTGTTCGCGAACTGAATCAGTGTGATGTGAAGATCAAGATCACCGAGTACTTCCCCGGCGCCACGCTGCACGATCTTGATGACGGGACGTACACGCCTGTCAACATGCCGCAGAGCGCTCTCAGCAGCGGCAGCGACCGTCGCTTTCGTGTTCTCCCAGCTGAAGCCAACGATGTGCCAACGGACGTAGGCAGAGATGGGCAGAAGTTCTACACTATACAGCGCGTCAACGGACACTTGAGCGGCAGTGGCATAGCTGGACCGCATCGCCACACCTTGGCCAGGAGTGACGAGGTCAAGAAAAACAGCGTGCTGCGTTTCCTGGCGAAGCAAGAGCAAGCGGCCAAAAAGGTATAACGTGTATATTGGTCTAATTTGATACTGATCGTGGAGGACTAACATAATCATAGATACAAACTTCTAGGAAAGCCTCTGAAGCAGCTGCAGCGACAATCAGGAAGCACTCAAAAGATTGTGACACAAAGTTCTTTGCAGCATGTTATTGGTACGTCCTCTTTCAACGTTTATACTGATCTATAATTGGTGACATCCGTCGAACTAAACGACCTTGCCACAGCCCATTTGCGCAGCGAGTCTGGATAGCTTTGGAGGCGAAGAAGTTGCCGTACCAGTACGTTGAAGTTGACCCCTCCCGCACACCACTGCCGAGGCAACTTCTCGAAGCCAACCCCAGGGGGCACTCTGCCTGCCATCAAGCAAGGGGATTGGGCTTGCTCAGGAAGCACGGTGATTCTCGAATATGTAAGATGTTCTGCGTTCCAAGAAAAGTGCCAAACGTTCAGCAGGACTGACATGCGTCGCAGTTGGAAGATGCCGAACAGCAAATTCCCTCTTCCCACCAGACGCTCGTCTCAAGGCGAATTGCCGGGTTTGGATTGATCATGTTCGTGCCCTAGTTGTCGATTTCATACATGTGTTTGTTTCCCTGTGGACTCAATTGACACAGTCTATAGATCAACACCATGATCGTGCCCTCGTTCTTCAAAGTCCTGAGGAACGTCGATGAGACGCTTCGCCCAATATGCATTGAACAATTACAGCGACACATCACAGAACTGGTGCTTGCCGCAGACGAGCAGGTAAGACAATGCTTGTCATGTCGTGTGGCTGGCTCAGGATGGGGCACGTAGTAAGACCTGCTAACGTCGAGAGCAGGGCCCGTTCTTTCTTGGTGACGCGCTTTCAATGGTCGATGTTCACTTTGCGCCAATAGCCCTCCGACTATCCCGCATGCTACAGCCAGCTCACGGGTGGACGGAGCCCTTGCCCAATCTTCGCTGGGAGTTGTGGTTGAATGCGATTGAAAACAACCTTCATGTCCAAGCAACTACGAGTTCCAGGGATCTCTACCTCAGTACCATGGACCTACTAGCGCAAGATCCTAGTGTGTAGATTCAATAGAGGGGACTTAATTTCATCTGACCACATCTGGAGTCGTGAATCCAGTCAAGTCCATGTCGGTTTCCGCATTCTGCCCACTAGATCAGCCCACCATGTCTCGACGTCACCGTGGTGCAGCTCCCCCTACCCCACCTCAATCGATCTCAGACTGAAAACAGTTGAACCTGCCACTGTCCCTGGAGAGCAATCATCAGGCCACTCTAGCTACCATTCCAAACCAAATCGTGACCCTCGGCGCCACACACAAACCCTTGTGCACGTACATACCCAAGCCGCCTCTGCGAGGGCTTGCTCTTATCCAAGATCCGTTGTTTACTGCTTCCGGACTCAGGGCTGCGTGCTTTTGAGATGGATTGAGCAGATAACGAGAAGGAAATCTGCCACACCAACCTTTGAGCAGGTTTTCCACACCATGATAAGAGGCAACGAAAGTCGTAGTTGGACCTTGAACTTAACATCAGCAGGAAACAACCCCGGCGTCGATTCAGAGGTTGCTGGATGGTCATACAGCGGGCGCAGAGTCACTTCGAATGATGCCACCAGCCCCGAACGGCTTCCGGTTCTCTAC